GCAGCAGCAGCAGCAGCAGCAGCAGCAGCAGCAGCAGCAGCAGCAGCAGCAGCAGCAGCAGCAGCAGCAGCAGCAGCAGCAGCAAACCTGGTGATGGTGCCGTCGACGTCGGAAACCACAATTTTGATGTCAGTGGGCCACAAATAAATTGTGCCGCAAACACTTTTTTCTCCCTGCAGGGCGGAGCTGACTGTGAAGCAAACGCTGTTCGCGCCGGGCTTCAAGTCCAAAGCCTCCTGCGCGCCAAACCCTAAACCCTAAACCCTAAACCCTAAACCCTAAACCCTAGGCCCTAAGCCCTGGGGCACGGCGCTCTCCGCGCTGCTCGCCACGCCAACCCTGCGGCCGCGGCGCCGCCGCCGCAGTCCGCAGGCGGCAGGCAACAAACCCCAAACCCTAAACCCTAAACCCTAAACCCTAAACCCTAAACCCTAAACCCTAAACCCTACCAGTTGTTCTGGGGTGGGCCGTAGGGAGCGTTTGAGGCGTTTGCCGCTGGGGGCGCTGGCAGCAGCAAAGGCGGGGGATTCGCTGTCGCTGACGGCGCTGCTGCAGGTGAGTCCTGAAAATTAAAATAAAAATAAAAATAAAAATAAAAATAAAAATAAATGAAAGTGAAGAATATTAAAAGAGAAGCAGCAAGCAGCAGAGGAGCCCGGCCGCGAGGTGTACGTCCACCTCGCGCGCGAAAGAACGAGCTCCGCAGCAGCCCCGCGTCTGGCGCCTAGGGTTTAGGGTTTAGGGTTTAGGGTTTAGGGTTTAGGGTTGGTGCGCAGCGACCTTGGGGTTTGAATGCCTGCTGCGTGATCGCGGGCTCCGCGAGGAGCTGCGGCTTGCGCGCGCCTCCCTCCGCGCCTCCCCCGCTGCTGCTGCTGCTGCTGCTGCTGCTGCTGCTGCTGCTGCTGCTGCTGCTGCAGCAGGGGCCGTCGGTGTAGCGCAGCTCCGCAGCCATCAGCCGCTGCACACTGCCCACAGCCAAAGGCCTCCCGAACAGCAGCCAGCTGGCCAGCAGCGGCAGCGCCACCTTCCCCGGGTAGTAGGGGGGGCCCCCCTCGAACCTGGCCACTAGCGAGGGGTGATACCACAAACTAGGGTTTGCTTCGAGGGCCCCCCAGTCCAAAACCCCAGCAGCAAACACGTCTGCGTCGTGCTGCGCCTCTGCTGCAGTCCCAAACAGCAGGTGCCCGCACAGCGACAGCTCCACGCTGCTGCTGCTGCTGCTGCTGCTGCTGGGGTCGGGGCCCCCGGGGGCCCCCAGGGGGGCCCCCAGGGGGGGCCCCAGGGGGGCCCCCAGGGGGGGCCCCAGGGGGGGCCCCAGGGGGGGCCCCAGGGCGCCCGCGGCGGCCGGGGAGCCCTCCAGGGGCCCCAGGGTGCTGCTGTCGCAGCAGCGCGCTGCAGTGCCCCAGGCGGAGCGCCAGCTGCTGTCGGGGTTTGCTGCTGCTGCTGCTGCTGCTGCTGCTGCAGCAGGGTCGGCGTCGGCGGCGGGGGGGGGGGCCCCCTGCGTCGTGGGGGCCTCGGCGGCGGAGGAGGGCGACAGCAGCAAGCTGCTGCTGCTGCTGCTGCTGCTGCTGCTCTTGAGGCCCCGCTGCGGCTCCCCCGCGACCGCAGAAGCAGCAGTGGACACTGTGGCGGGGGCCCCCAAGGCCGCGGGGGCCCCCAGGGGCCCCAGGGGCCCCCCGCCGGGGGCCCCCTGCGGCGGCTGCGGCGGCGGCAGCAGCTGCGGCTCCCCCCCCCCCCCCCCCCCCCCCC